TTTAAAAAATTATATTGACCCCTTTAATCTTTGGTTATACTTTCCTATTGGGTATTTAAGACCATACAGTTGGCCCAGGTAAATCAATTTATTTTTTACTCTTAAGTTCGGTTCAGGATCTGTTCCTCGGGGGTCACATGGGCTTGGGAGGAGCCCCTGGCTCCTTTCTTTTACCAGTTCCACCTATGTGAAGAAAAGTCAAAGGTCCTGCTCGATCATGGTTGGCTTCACTTGGAAACATGGAGGAAATGATTAAAGTTAAAATCCAGGGACTAGGGAGATGGCTCAGTGGTTCAGTTCACTGGCTGCTCTTGCAGAGGATTCAGCAGGCAGGCATTACATGACATGGGTGCACCTACACACATACAGGCAATACACTCATACACATAAAAAGATAAAAATAAAAATAATAAAGTTAAAATCCAGTAGTAAGTCATTCAGTTGAAATTAAGATTAAAATTCCTTAGTGAATACACAGGAAGCGAACAGAATAAAAACGATATAATTACACCTAAGGATGAGTTTTATACCAAATATTTCTCTCTGTTCCTATGATTTGATTAATATGATGTTGAAGGTGTAATCGATTAAAAATTTCTTGAACTTATTCAAAATTTACTGAGTATCTACTACATGTCAGGCATTCAGTAGACACTTGGAGTACAGAGAAAAATTAGTTATTTCTTGCTCTCAGTGGGATCTGCTAGAGGAGTCTACTAGAGGGATTCCAACAGACATACGAATGTGTATATGCAATACAATGAAATAAGTATTGAGCATGGTGTATATAACAAGGCACTAGAGGAGGCCAGAGGAATTGTCTTGCAAATAAAGTGAGAAAATCAGAGAGACTTTCGATGACATGATAGTAGAGCAGACTTGAAGGAGTAGCAGAACTCAAGGGAAACAAAAGAAGGATGTGGTAGTGGAAGGTAGTTTAAGGCTGAGGGGACGGCAGACAAAGGAGCAGGGAAATGTGACAAGCACGAGCAAACGGAAAAATGGTTCCCCACAGCTGGGATTTGTTCTGCACATGAAGTAGTGAAGTATGAGGTCAGAGAAGGAGAATGAAGTCAGAGAGTGAAGAGTCATGTGTGGGGGACTAAGAAAACTAAACTTCTTCCTGAAAGTAACAGCAATGAATTGAAGAATTAAAAGGAGGGACTGACCTGTATCGAGGATGATTTGGAAGAGAGGTGAGAGTAGAAAAAGTTGGTTATTTGGGGAAGGTTATCAAAGCAATCCACAGACAGTTTGAAGGTATTAAGTGTGGCGAAGTAGGGACAGATCAGACAGATACTTGGGTGGAAGCTTGACAAGACTTTATGAATGATAATATGAAACGCAGATCAACTCAAAATGAGATAGTATTAAAACATATGTCTGGAAAATACAACCAACAGTCCCAGTCCCCCCTTACTTTGTGTCCCCATCCATTGAATTCACTGACACTGTATCTACTGGGAATGAAAAACACAAGAAAGCTATAGGGAATATCTGATCATACTTCAATAATTTAGAGACCAATATATAACAGTTCAGACCATCTGCCTGTCAATGCTATTGACTACTGCTATTGACTACTACTGCTTTCTTCCTCTTTCTTTTCAAGCCTCTAGTCACCAGTTACAGAAATCCAACCTAAAGGTAGTAGCTTCTTCTAATTGCATGCTTGAAGCACAGTACACAGCTGTTTACATAGGGTTATCTCAGGGGCAGCATCACATAGCCTTCCCCTCACCCCTGTCCTGGGCCCACAAGGGAATCCATTTGTTTGTGACAGTCTGTTGTCCCATTTGATGTCTCTTTTATAGGCACTGATTCCTGAGATGGAAGGTTGTTTAGTCATTGTAATCTTAGTGGAACTTGGTCGAATATAATGTCTTTCACTTTAACAGAAAGGACAGAGGTAGTGTAAGGGGGCTATGCAGGCACCTATGGAGGAGAGTAATACAAAAGTAAAACTGAAGAATATGGAAGATTTTAATAACACCTTGCCAAAGAAAAGTCTTGGAAATACTCAAGAAACTAAAGAATTCTTACAGAATGCCTTGCAGTGCTGGGCAGTGAGTGTGGTGGTCCATGCTTGCAAACCCAGGAAGTGAGAGGTGGAGGTAGGGGAATCAGAAGTTTAAGATCACTCTTTGCTCCTTTGTGAATTTGAGATCTGCTTGGGCTACATGAGATCCCATTTTAAAGAATTTTTTAAAAATGTCCTGCACTTCAGATTTTAGAAAATCACACTTTCACTATTTGAACTCTAGAGAACTTACATTGCTGATAATCTATCTGCTAGTAAAGTTTGATGGTGACTCATACTCTTCATGAACCTTAGACTATTTACGACAATCAAAATCTCAAACACCATTAATTTGTACATTATCACACTACAAATCATTTCATAAAACCATTTGACCACTCCACTGTTTCATTCACTCAGCCTGGCCTTGTATTTTGTCATTAGAAACTATATAGACTTAACATTACTTGCACTGTGCTAATCAGCCATGTCACAAGTGACTAACGATCAAGAGTCAAACTCTCACCTTGAAGAGACCCTCACACACAGTTCAATAAGGCAATAAGTTGCTTGTGAGTACTTGATAATAGAGAATAGAAAATCCAACTGAGAAATAAAGCAAAGCTTTAAAAATTACTTACTTCATTTGTTTGGAGGATTGTAAACTTTGGCAGCTTAGTCTTTGAAGTCGTTGCACTGGGTTTCCCATCCAGCAGTGATCCAAAGGACAGATTCCCAAAGCTGTTCTCAAATTCAATGGAAGGCTTCAGTGTTGGAGAGATGTCTGGTGTCTGATCTTGACCATCCATGGGTCTTACATATGCAGTTGGCTTTTGCTGCCCCATGCTTGTTTTACAGTAAAGCCCTGGTGGGAAGGTTTGCACTGAAAGGCCACTGCTGGGAGCTAATAAAGATGAGGCAACCAGGGGAGACCCAGGTGCCTGCACTGTAACTTCAGATTCTCCTGTTGAGTTGGACTGAAAGATTTCTTTGAAAGCATCTTCACCTGACTTGGAGTTATTGTCTTCCTTTGCAGATGAGTTTGTTTTCTCAACTGCACCAGTTTGGGGTTGTTCAGCTGGGTAGATGAAGAAGTCTTCCAGTCGGGCTTGAGGTGGGTCCTGTGTGGATGTCTGCATCTTGTTTGTCTGATTGCTGGCCTGGCTTGCTTGTCCAGCACTAGGATTGTGACTATCTCGTGGCCACTCAGGTTTTGATTTTCTGTTGCTGTGTATTAGAGTAGAATTCAGTATAATGACTGAAGGTGGAGGCATCGGTGCTGAGGAATGGTTATTATCCTGGTGAGTTGGGATCATTCGATTCTTTTGCTCTGGGAAAAAGCTTGGTTCACTTTTGTTGATAGGAGTCTGTGGCACAGAATTCTTTGGGATTCCCACTAGATGATTCTGATTGGAATGGTTAGTGAGCAAATCCTTCATTTCATCATAGTTTCCAAGTGTGTTCTGGACTCGGTTGGCAAGGGCATCACCTTTGTTTGTCTAAAATAACAGAAAGATGGGGGTGGGAGGAGAAAGAATGAATAGCTTTGTATTTACTACTGTTAATGCTACAAACAGATGTCTGAGTAGAATATTGGAATTTTCTAAACTTGTCACACTGCCACACAATTTCATATATTCCATGTGCTATATAAGAGAAAATAGTTGGGGCTGGGGAGATGGTTCAGTGGTCAAGAACACTGGCTGCTCTTGCAGAGAACGCAGGTTCAGTTCCCAGCACCTGCATGGTAGTTAACAACCACCCATAAGTTCAGCTCCAGGGGATTTGACTCCTCTTCTGGTCTCAACATGCACTGCATGATGTGGGTGCACTTAACTATATGCAAGAAAAGAAAACCACTCATACATAAAAAATAAAAATAAATAAATGAAAAAAATTAAAATGTCTATAAAAAGAAAAAAGTCAATAATATTTAAAAGACCTGCTGGGAATGAGTAGGTTTGATGAACATTTGGTTTACTCTTTAGCCTGCTCTTAAACATGCTCATTGCAAAATAGTTTTAAGAGCATGTCATTAATTTTATTAGAAAAAATATTACTGATTTTAGGATAGATGAGATGAACTGCTACATAGCACATTATGGAGTTTTGATGGAATACTTGACTTGTATATGTTTTTGATCTCTCAGCCTTTGTTCATTATACTGTGTGTGGTGGTTTGAATGAGTTTCTCCCATACGTCCCAAATATTTAAACATTTTGTTTTTTAGTTGGTGGTTCTGTTTTGGGAGGTCTTAGAAGGTATGGCCATTCAGAAGGAAGCACATCACTGGGGATCGCCTAACAGAATTCTTAAGCCTTGCCAGATCTCCAGTCACTCTCTGCTTCCTGCACCTGCTTGAAGATGTGAGAGCTTATTTTCTGCTCTTCCTCCAGCCACCTCTGCTGCCATGCCTCCCTGCCATGATGGACTATTCTTGCCCCTTTGGAACTGTAAACTAAATAACGTCTTTTTATAAGTTCCCTTGGTCATGGTGTTTTATCATAGCAACAGAAAAGAAATAAAGACACCATGAAAAAAAATGTTTAACCCACTTGATACAGAGAAGGTAGTTAAATTGTGCTATCCTCACTGTACAAACTTTTTAAAGGCATGGGATTAAACAACACCTAATTGAGCTAACTTATGACTAACATGAATCTAATTTCTTTTAATCAGAGAAATGTATAAATTACTGGTGCCTGCCTACATATTCTGGGGGCGACTTTGTTTACACATTGATGATTCATACTCATTTACTTTGAAATGCTGCAATTGTTCATCAACAGTGACTCAAGCTGTCCTATGTTTTTGCAGCCAGTTAGAAAATTTTATTCAAGAATTTAAATTGTTACTTCAGTAAATCAAAACAAAGTCATCTTTTCAAAGTGATGTTAGCCTAATGTATAAGAGTTACAGAAGCAACCAAATCAATCTATGGACAATCAACAGCCCAACTCTAACATTCCCTGGAAGATATGCAAATCTCACAAAATGACAGATTGTTTGTTGAAATAATTAGGCTCTTGCATGTATCTTTTGCAATGAGGAAGCAAAGCTTTCGTAACTAAAAAATGTTGGGTAGCTGTATTCTTGGAAATGAATCTAATGATATTCAATTGTTCATTCTCAAAAATAACTTCCATGATTCTCTTTACATGCAAATAGGCTATCAAAACAATCTGATAAATTCAAAAGAGCAGAAGATTTCATTTTTCCTGGGCTGTACCATACCGACCCCAGATGTAGCCAGGTTAAGCGGCTATCATTATCCTTAGAGCCACCTGGCAATGCAGCCATTAGACAGGGAAGGCCTCTTCCTATTTGGCATGCTTTCCATGGAGAGGAACAGATGACCACCTCCCCCTTGTACATGGCCCACTGAAGATACATGCTAAACCTCACATGACCTAAATATTTCTGGCTCACTATGGTCCACAGGTGGTACTTATCTAAGTCTCAGGTCTGTCTCAGTCTGTGCCAATAATAAATGTCTCTGTAAGTGAAGATGGGAAGATATGAAGGTGGCTGGCCAGTGAAGCATTAGGAATGTTTGGAATAACCCAGGGAAAGAAAATGTGGAATGACAAGTTTAGGCTCAAGGAAAAAATCCTTTAAGCCAAGAGACTGAGGAAAGTAGAGGAGCCACTAAGGGACCCATAGAAGGAGTAATCACAAAGAGAATCAAGCTAGAAACCTTGGCCTCATTATTAGCATGATCTCTGTATATTTAATTCATACCATGTGTTAACTCATAGGCACTTGTAAAGAAATGAGAGCAGTTAGAGAAATATGAATTTCAAAGTTTATGGCAAAATATGCTAAATATATGCTAAGGGAGTTCTGTACTGGATGGGATTCTTTAGGAATTGAATAAATGCATATCAGTTTTAGTTTGCTTATCGTCAGGAACATCTTACATTGCATCATATGCAACCTTGGTGTTGAGGTAGAGATTAAACAATTAACATTCTATATGATTCTCAGCTGAATAACTGCTTCATTTCCATAGACACATTTGAAAGGCATATTTAAAAAATGTAGATGGGGAGAAATCATTTATATTCCCTAAAATTCCCTAGGTTTATGATTTTAATGACAGAAATTACTTTTTAGCAAAGGCAAAAATAAATTCTTTGCATATAGCAATTTCCTTCAACTAATGTACAAAATGAACCATTTGGACAGCAGCCAACCAGTCTGTCTAATCAATCCTTAAATATAAAACAAAGAAAGTCCATTACAATAATGTCCACCAAGAATTTGATGCACATTTGAAACATTTTCAAGGTTGTCCTGGCCCGTCAAAGAAAGACATTATCACTCGAGTCAGATGATTGAATGCTACCAACACTGATATCTGACCATGTTCAAGGATCTAACTCTACCAGCAGAAACATGCCATTTAATTTCCTGTTTGAAATTTCTTCATTGTGCTTACTGGCTTTCTTAGAAGCAGAGTTTGACAAAATCAGAACCTTCTCCTCACCATTAGACATGCCAGCACAATACCTCTTGCCTGGGGAAGTCATTCCCCTCTCTCTGGACCAAAAACGATCAGAATCCAATGATCTCAGATCTTACTTGCTTGAAAGCAGGCAAGCCACATTCTTATGCTTATTTTGGTGGAATGTTGAAGGCATATGCTTATCTTGTTTTCAATGGGAAAGAACCATGTCTACTTAATGTCTTCTCATTTATTTACATATTACGATGGCCTTAGTGTTGAAGCATGCTGTTACCTTTTCACACTCGAGTTTTAAATCATGTTTGCAATTAGGACACTTTCTAACCTGGCCAGTGTTTAAAACTATGCATGAATAAAATGTAAGGAAAATTAAAATGTCCCTGGATGAGTCCAGAAATCAATATAGTGAAGCCATGTTTTCTTTCCCTGATTAAATCTATAGCTATTAAATTTCAGGGACCTTCTTTTATTTACTTTTAACCACTACAACTTGTCACCATGTCTAGTATATGTCGTTACATAATAAATTGTTGCATAATTTTAATAGAAACAAATTATTTTCTATACTGTGTCTATATTAAAATAAATGATATGTAATGGCTTGGAGGAAATGACACATAAATAGAAGGGCAAAAGCATCCTAACTTGGTTACTATGACTGAACAATAAATTGAAACCTTTGAAAATCCTAGTACCTAGGCACAAAATGGAAAGCTCATTGGTTAAAGCATTATCTATAACTGAGGAAAAGAAGAATATCATCTTAGCTCATTAAGCAAGACAAATGGAATGCTGATATAAAAATGTAAAATGGAATTTATTGGTTCATTCACAAGAACCTCAAAACAATAAAACAAACCATTTTTTAGCACTAATCTTCTATAAGGTTCAAAGATATTCTTCATGTACATTTTTCTTGCAAGGAAGAAAGGCCAAAGGCATTACCTTAAAGTCTAACTCACTGACGGCATGCCTGAATTTCAAGTTCATGGTATATGCTACCATAACAATAGTTTGAAGCTTTCTGATACTCTGGTGACATAGGGATAGAGTTGTGATAACCTGTAAGAATTGAGGGCTGTTATCTCCCTTAGACTAACTTCCTCAGAGAGCAATTACCTCAGGAGAACTCATGAGAGGAACTGTTTAGCAGATAATGCAAGATTGAGTTCAATGGAGACAATTTCTGAGTTGCTCATTGAAGGAAGATCCGCATGTTTTCCTAAAAGATGTGTCATGGCTACAAGTAGGAACTACTGTGGTCATTATTACAACAAATACTGGTAATTTCAAAATCCTTATAGTGCAAATTTAGACAAAGAGTACACACAAACATATAACCTCAAAAAGCTTATTGTTCAACAATAACCAGATAATCAATTGTCCAGACCAGGCTGTCAGTAATAATTTTCTGCCTCTCTACCACTGGAGAAGGCAACTGTCAATCTTGCAACTCTCATATGAGATAGACTGGATAGAAAACTTAGTGGGGCCCAAAAGACACTTGCCCACACCTAAGAGCTAGGTAGGCTCTTATTACACACCACAGGAAAGTCTGATGGACAATAATTGGTCTTTTTTGTCCTCTAGAGTCTTAATAACATATTAAGGAAGAGGGTATTCTTGACTGAGTGGATCAAACATTCTAAACATGGTAAGGATGAAATTTAGCTGTTTCAATCAATTATAGGCCTCTTTTAATTTGACCAGTTCTTTACTACCCATTCTCCATAATTGGTTGATTCCTTTAAGGTAACCTCTGTAGCTATTATTTTCTAAGTAATCACAATTTCTCTATCATGAAGGAAATCCATTTTCCAAGTATTTTCAGTCATAAATTACATGTCTGGTTTGTGGTTCATGACTAACAGCACTCCTTCATTTAAGCGTTTTGCTTCTTATTACTTTAGGAAATGCAAAATTTCCCCAGTTTGCTTCTAATGCTATGTACAAATCAGTAGTATAATTTCATTGCCAGTCTAATGTGCTAAGAATCTATTGTACCATGGTATTTCTTTTTAATAAAATAAGCAAAATAATTCAAGTTTTGAAGTTCATTTTTCTTCTACTTTATTCTGGCTAAAGTGTATAATTTACTAATTCCCCCTTTTCCCTAATTCTAGTATTTTCAATTCATCTCTCTAGGCTGTAAATTGCCATTTCTTTCTTTAATCATAACAATGCCAAGAACTTGAACTTTTACAACACTTTACAGATTTTAAAGCAGGATATTCCAATTTGTTTCATTAGATCCTCACAAGAACTGTGTGAGTCAGCAGGGTAGCTAGCCTTGGTCTCCATTGGGCCTCTACCTACGCCTGTACAGACATCCTTGCATAAATCTCTTCAACCTCTCTGTACTGAGCCGTAAAAAGCTTTAAAAGTGTAGTAGTAGCAGCAGCAGAACACTAGTAGTGGTGGACAAGGAAGAGGGGAAAGGGGAGTTAGTTTTCATGATTAACTTCAAAAGGGAGAAAATTATGGATTGATAAAGAGAAGTTTCTTCTATACAGTTAGTTAGTAGGAACACTTACTGACTTGACTTCCTGGCTGAGGATAAACAAGTTTCCAACCATACAAAAAGTCACATTGAGCAGAGAATTAAGTCTGATAACACTATGCATAAAAATATGAAGGCTCAGATCAGCCACCCAAGTTCTTAGGGGCTAAAATTACTCAAGAAAATTTAAGGGAAATGTATGTTCCACCTATTATAAGGCTTAAATGGATACTTACACAAAGCCCTAGTCCATACTGTGGACATGCCATTTCCTCATCAGTCTTTCAGTGCTAACTTACACATGTCAAATGACTTCACATTTTTCAGGCACTTTTGAAAACAACATCATCAATCAATACTATAGCAAAATCTTCAATTTCAAAGATACAAACTGCACAAACACCCCTAGAGAGAACTTCCCCAACACTAACAAAATTGTCAAGAGGTCAACATTATTTTCATTGTGAGTATAGTACATGTAGGTGAAGGAGGGAAAGAAATCAGTAAGGAACACAAAACATCCGATTTTTCCTTTCTGACAAGAAAAGGCAGCTGGTACAAGGGAATGGGGCTTCCAGTGCCTCGTTTAGAAACTACTGATGCTTCTGGGCAAGTGACGAGGGAATGACTTAAGCTTGGTGTAGCAAGAAGGTTCCTGAAATTCCTGACCCACTACCAAAATATTGTTTTCCAGTTAGATAAAAATTCCTATTGTAACCCTAGAGAAGCATTGTGATGTGTCCACACTTCTACTAATGAATTATCGGCCAACTTGAGAACTCCCATTGGCACTAACATATTTGAGTACTCCAAAGACAGGATGCTCATCTGCCTTACAGATGGTCTGTCTGGTGAAGCTTTTTCAGGTACACATCATTTATAGTATTGTAATATGATGACAAAATAGAAATGTTCTTCATTGATATGCTAGAGAAGCCTAAACATGGGCACATTATTCCTCCTCCTTATAGTTATGACTCCAGAATATGCCTGTTCACCAAGGATAAAGCAATAAAATACTAAGTCATGGCCACCTTGAGCCTGGTTAAATGCTCCCATAACTGTCGATACCTGATATACCCTTACACTTTCAGTATAAATGAGGTTGAATATTTTTGACAATATTGAGAGTATTTCTCAACCACATCTCAAAAATACACAGCTAACATCTGATGATAAATACGTACCTATATAAGGGGCCATGTTAAATAACAATTACAAAAAACTACAATACTAATTCACTTCAACTTAAAATTCTGCAGGAGTAATAAGCCCAGGGCTCTTTAGCTCATAAGAGTGTTGAATATTGGGTAGATACTGAACTTTAAGAATAAATCCCCTGAGAAGGGGTCATTTCTCTAACCCATCCAAAGATGTAAAACTCATGTGCTTATTCCCCTTCCACCTTAAGAAGGGACAAGATTATCTTCATCTGCGATTTTGTGTTCCAAAATGGAGGCTGTGATTTCTTGTTGTACCTCAGTGCCATCTTTATTTTACTCTGCAGTGTTATTTTCCTTCTAATGTTCCATCTCTATTCTTATTCTCCTGACTTGTGCTTCTTTACAGAAGCTTTGTCTTGGGTTTGGTTGTATTTCCTTTGGGTCCTTCCTGTACTCTGTAACACCCCTCTTCCCCTATCTTCCATCCCTCCCCAGCAATTTCTAAACAAGCTCATGTTTTTCTTACTAAAAACGAACTTCCCTATTCACAGCTGCTCATTTTACCCTCTAATATATCTTCCTGCAAAATCAAGTCCACATTGATAACTTTTCTTTATTTACTTAATCACATCTTTTCACTCTCCAAACCTGGCAATTTGTTGTCCCAATTCTTCCTAAGAGAGATTATCAATTTATAAAACTTACCTTTTCTGATCTCTTGGACAAATGCTACTAACACATCTTTTTTTCCCATAAAATCTGTTGTTTCCTTGGTTTCCATCAAATGCTGATGATTTCTAGTATTCTGCTTAACTATTTGCTCACTTCATTTCTTTCCTGGGTTCTACTTCCTCTTCCTTATACCCCTAAATATTGTTAACCCCAAAAGTCTCTGTCCCTCTTTTTATTATGTCAGTTACTTTGATCCAGTAACAGTATCCAATCTTACAGTACCCAAAATCTCACACTTGACCTCTTCCATGAGCTCCAGACTTAGGTTTCTGATACTTTTACTTTGGTATCTCATTTGCATCTGAAATGCAAAATGGTCAAAGCTAAATTATTGCTCCTCTTTAAACGGCAGCCTTGCTTCCCCCCGAAACACTTGATAACAAAAATCACCATCTCATCAAATCAAAACCTGGGAGCTCAGTCTTCCCTATATCATATTACATTTATTTAGATATCCAGTCCTATCACTCCAACCTCCGTACTCTGTCTTGAATCTTTCCTGACATAACTTCCTTTAGCGACTACTATGGCTTCTTCAAATCCCTGTCTTCCACCAAACTCTCCATACTGCTCAATATTACCTTACTAAAATGTAAGTCTATCCTGGCCATGCTCTGACTTTTAAAAATATGTAATAAACATCTCTTCATGCACAGAACAGTGTTCAAACTCCTTGGACTGAGATGTAAAGTATCTGTTGATTTTGTTTTGGAAGACTTCCTCAGAAAGTTGCAATTGCCCCAAATACACCATCTGTATATATTTTACTTGTAAAATACATTTAGGTGCTTTAAAAATAAAGTCAATGTTGATTAGCGAGTTTGAAACTGTATAAGCAAGCATTTTCCAGAAAGATAAATTACATACATATTCAGCTACCTTGTAGGGCTCCCCAAAAAGATCAAAGCCTGAAGAAAAGAGATCGTCTTCTTGCTGAACTTCTTGACTCCTCCGTTCCCATTCCCTTTTTTTAAGTGCACTACGGTCTTGTTCATAGTGACTGATGTGAAAAGGAAAAGACAGAGAAAAAGATTAATTAGCCATGAAGAAATTTAGATCTCCCTTGTTATCAATAAGAAGAAAAATGCAAGTAAATTCTGTCCGAGTCAATACTGCATAGAGAGCAGGGAATCTTTTCCTTCACCCTTACTAAGTTTAAGATCCTTAGCAGTTCCTATGAATAAGAAGAAAACAGAAACTTGCTTATTAGAAATTGTACCTATGGCCGTACAAGTATAGAGAATTCTTGTTCCTTGTCCTTGTTTGATTATTACAAGCAACTGCATACTCCCCCCAAATCTTTGCACTCTGCTGAGAAGTGCTTAATTAAGCTTACATTATGCTGTCAACTGCCTAGAGCTCAGAATCCACAGATGTCACAAATATCCAAGGGAAAGAATGTATTAAACTATGGATCTTAAGGTAAGCTAGAATCCTGCTCTGAGACTTTACTATGTTTTAATGAAATCATGCAAGAGTTTGAAGAGAGTAAAGTGTCTTCTGTGGAATATACACAAGCAAATTTAAATGACTTAAATACCCACATCCTTTTTGTTTGGATATTGTTAGGTCTCTATTTTTTGCTCTACAAGTGACTGGAAACCTTTGGGAAAAACTTATTAGAAAGGAAGGTGTCTGGTGACAGAAACTGCAAATAATTCACTAGCAATGAATGAAATATATATTAAAGCTTTAAGTGACTTAAATGCAAAACTGTTCTATAAAGAATACCTCTATGATACTCAGAGAATCCTAGACTTTATCATTAGAAGAGTAAATCCTCCCAGAAAACATTTAAGATGAAGTCCAGGACCTTGGGTATTATAGAATGGAATTCTTCTTTATTAAGAAAATGTTCTTTGTCATTTAAGACTTAAAATTAAAACCTAATCTGAAAGCATTATACTCCAGATTGAGCATCCCTAATTCAAACATCTGTAATTCAAAATTGCTCCAAACTTTTAAATTGCTTACAAAATGCTATAAATGGAAATTCTCACAAAATGACAGTACTTTCTTTTTAAAAATATTTTAATTATTATTTTTTTTATGTGTATGCGTGTATTGCCTGCAGGTAGGTAAGTGCACCCACATCGTGCAATGCTAGTGGAGGACAGAAGAGACTGTCGGATCCCCTGGAACTGGAGTTACAAACAGTTGTTAGCTGTCAAGTGGGTGCTAGGATTCAAACGTGGGTCTTCTGCAAGAACAGTCCGTGTTCTTAACCGCTGAGCCATCTCTCCAGCCCCCCGCCACTACAGATAGTCTTTAAAATTTATTTCACATTAGGTGCATAAGATTTATATGCAACACAAGTGAAATTCCTGTTTAGATTTTGTTCCTTTTCACACAATATCTGGGTTTGAATCCTGCAAGGTACAACAATTACTAACCTGGCAAGATAAGCCCACTTGTACAATAGTGACGTGAAAGTTATGGCGGTAACCAACCACTTTATAATTGGATTTAAGACTTGCTGTATAAAACAGAACTCATGCCTGGTACCCCAAACCTATGACGGGCTAAATCATAGGCTCCAAGTGAGAACCTAATACTATTATCCTGCTAAGTGAACATAGTATTACATTGCCCCACAGTTTTTATCTTTACTCCATTTGATTAGTGTGTCTCTCTATCCTCATTACAGAAATGTGATTTTTTAGTAGATGCAAACTAATACAGAAAGTTATGACTGGTCAAAGTGCAGAGCATAGAAGACTATGGAGTGCTCAGCTGTAAATGGGACATCTATAAAACACTCTATTTCTCCAAGGCCCAAGGGCCATCACAGAGGATGGGAAGGAAATGTTAAAAGAGTCAGACATAGTGGACATCTACCATAAAATATTATTTTCTTCACATGGCAGGGTCTTTGCACACATGAACTCACGGGAGCTGCAGGTATAAAACATGTGACTGCATGTATAAAACTTGCATAAGATTAAGCCAGCAAAAATGTCAGCATGGATTGGGAAGGTATATCCTATCTTATCTGAGGCTCTATTGGCAACTGATGGCTTCTAGGGAAAGGAGGATCAGTTTTCTTCAAGGATGCAACCCCTGGGTGGCTACCCATGCTCCAGTAGATAGACTTACACCCATGTACATGCAGGAAGCACTAAGTGGATCCATTAAAAAGAGAGTACATGAACATGAGAGGGAAAAGTTGTGGGGGTAGATGGGGCATTGGAGGGGACGAAATGAGCATTAGATTTGATTAAAGCACATTATGAAATTTTCAGTAAAAATAAAGGAAATCTTCTAAAATCAGGGAAAACATCTGAAATCCATAACACTTCTGTTTGCATGCATTTCAGATAAGGGATATCCAACCCATAGTGCACTGCATGTTGTTCAGTGGATTGCTTCCTCTTCCTTCCTCTCTCTCTCTCTCTCTCTCTCTCTCTCTCTCTCTCTCTTGTCTCTGTCTTTGTCCCTGTCTGTCTGTGTGCCTCTCACCATCTATCTATCTATCTATCTATCTATCTATCTATATATCTATCATCTATCTATCTATCTATCATCTATCTATCTATCTATCTATCTACCTATCATCTATGCTGAGAAAATTAAAATTATGTAAATGTGTATGCAGCACCTAGTAGTGCTCCTTAAACACTGGCTTCCTTCTTTATGTTAATCGTACCATGTCAGAACATAATTAGATAATTATCGTGCAAATGGCCACAAGTGAAAGGAGGCTCAAGCGATATATCAATGTAAAAGTGAAGTTGTTGGTTTTTGTATAAATCATAAAAGCTCAGTGCCTATCTTTGGTAAGCTGGTTTCATCATGAGTACCACAACTGTAATTTGATACATAAGAGTCTACACCACTAGCTACACCGCTTACTATACAAGGAATATGTGGTGCCACTACCCCTAATCATCCACCGATGTCCATAGAAATCGTTGAACTGTCAATTTCAAAATGGCTTTGATTGATGGTGACATCATATACATAAACAACCTTTATTTCTCCACTTTAAAACGGTGGCAACCTCTGCAGGGTAGTCAATGTATATTGCACTTTCATAATACAGATAATTTCAGAGACATAAGAGCTCACTGGGCCACTCCTAAGTATATTCAGCAAATATAAAATTATCATTGTGGGAGACAAAGAAATCCTCCAGATCCTTTCCAAACCCAGGGTTGCCCATCTGGGCCCCGGTGGTCAAAAACATGCCACATCCAGAGTGAAGGGAACCTATCTAGCCTCAGATGTTCTCCACAGTAATATCAGTTTCACTTCAACTCACAGACTGAGATTGGAGCCCTACATAGTTGTCATATGCCTAGTGTCTATACTGTGTACCATAAGCACACATAGTCACATCTTCAGTCCAGTTACTGTGCACAATATTGTACCTATCAGCCATGGGCAATGCAAATTCATCAATTTTTCAAAATTCAAGAAAGATGGGGCCAGTATTGGGGACTTCAAGCAGTATTTAGCAATGTAGAGGAAAAAGGATTTGTTGCAAAAGAGAAAGACCGTTAATTCTTTTCTTTCCATAGCAGATGATTCTCAACACAAAAGAAAGAATGAAAGTCTCTTGCTTCTGAATAAATGTGAGCAAGATGTCAGTTTTCTAGCTATCTGTTCATTTTTTGCACCTGACAGCTCAAAATGACAGGCCTATAGATCACATTTAATTCTCCCATGAAGAGAACTGAAGTGCTTTAGTCTCTTGGCTTTGCAAACTACCTTCTTTCTCCTCTGAGGGAAAGACATAATTAAAACCCTGAAGGGGAAAAAAGGAGAGGGAGAAGAAAAGGAAATGTGCTTTAACTTGCATGACAAGCCTTCAAGCGGCTAGCAGTAAGGGCACTTTCGGGGCTTTAGCCCTGGCTTTGATTTGTTAGGAGGCTCTTGGCTGCATTTTGTATCAGTTCATTAGCTACCAAATTCCAGATGCAAATTTGAATAGCAGATTGAGCGTGCACATGGGTGTTATCTGTTGCAAGCAAAACTGTCTGCTGCATTTTTTAACACATCTAACAAAGAACAGTTAATTCTCATATCTCTGGTGAGAAAGAATTTACTCTACATAGAGTTCCACTGGTTTTGGATGGCAACCAAATAGGTCCAACTTTTTCCTTTCAGGCTCAGCATGGTGTTGCATTGAAAGAGTCACACGGTGAGGTCTAATGAGGAATGAACTACATGGTGATGAGGCTTTCAACGTATAACATCACTGATTTCTGACTGAAACCAACATTACTAATTTAAGCACCAGCTAATTAAAACCACAGCTATGTATTTAGCCTCTTGTTATACCTACTGCAGTTTATAATTATGAGGACCTCTTTATCTACTCAATTAAACTTCTTATGATTCAGTCAGTTTGTGTTTGAACCTTTGAGACCTGCAGAGCCTGCAAGAACGTCTATGTCTGACCTCGGATGATTTGATGTATCTTTATTCTCAGACTTGTTTTTCCAGAGGAGACAGGGGAAGTTGTGGCTCTACATAGAATGCTCAAGACAAAAACCCGAGTTAATCATCATATTGATGGTTTTAGATAATCTGCATTTACTCACAGAGACGAAATCAGAATAAAGCAGTCTCATCAACATGAAAATCCATATTCCTATTGAGAAGTTTAGCAAAAATTCTCAATTCAAAGACTTGCAACTCTTAGCAAGGTAGAATGTTTTCCCCATTTTTTCCTCCTAAATACTATGCCATTTGTCACATCCGGATGATATAAAAACCCCTGGTCCTTGAAAACCAAATGTCCTCTTAGGTTAATGGACCAATGTTCTGTGCCTTCTCTCTTCCCCTATGTTGGAATCCTTTTCTCATTCCATATTCCCTGATAGGAAAAGACAGACAAAAGAAGTGGTTGCAAGTAACACTTTAGAAATTATTCTAATACTAGGAGAGATGAGGAGAAGCTTCTCTTACTCACTGAGCACTTTTTCATCAGCTGTGTTCTCACCCAGCTCTATGCCTCCAGGGCCTATCGCAACAAAAGTTCCCTCATTTCTGCAG